TGGGGTAGGGGCGTGTTTGTTTTGGTGATTTCAAATGTCAACATTGGCTACCAGAAATCACTTACCCCACCTTTAAGTAAAAAACTATATATTAATTATTAATTTTCTCATTGCACATGTAGGGTAAATCCAAAAGTTATCAAATGCAGTCAGTCTGTTATTTTCATATTGTGATATTTGTGTTACATTACAAGTAATTTATACTGGAATTCATTTTTAAAATGACCGAGTGATCTCTCCTCACATGTTGCTTTTAATCAGCATGTTTGTAAATACTGCAAGAATTCATGAATAAACACCAAGACTGCAACAGATAAACAACTGCATGGAAACAGTGGTAATCTGCCCATCTCTGAACTACTGTGCTGGTTTCCAGGACACAGATTAAGTCTAGTCTGGGTTTAAATCGTTGCTAATGGCAACTCTCCATTAAAAAGCCTTTATAGTAGAATTCATCTGTGTCTGGGAAATAATTTCTATATGACACCATTATGCCAAGCCAAACCCAAATCACAACAACTCAAAGAAACTCCATAAAATAAACAAACAAACATGCTCTAGCAAAAAACACGAAAAGATGGGATATGCACAAAAAAAGCTGATGAAATGTGCTATCGATGCATGACATGATAAAGCATTAAATGGGATCTTTTGGTGGATACATATATACCAAATATGGGCTTTATTAAATGTACTAAAGCTTTTTCAGATCAACTAAAAAAAAAAGAAAATTTCTAGGATATGTAAATGTATATCATTATGTGGTGTTTTACTGTTGTGTGCAAAATTTTCCACATTTAATTGTCTTAAAAGCAAGAATAATGTGTGTGTATAATGATCATTCATTTCTGCTTCTTTTAAATAGAAGACTAACATGTCTTTAACCTACTACGTCAATAAAACTAACATCTGATTTGTAGACAAAGTCTTATTGACCTAGGGCTGCAAGATTCTTGCTAAAATGTGAATCACGATTTTTCTCCATGGGAATTGAGATCACGATTCTTTTACACGATTCTCATTTTTTCAACCAAAATTTATTGCACTCAAGTACAAAAAACAAACAAACACAGGACTAGAGCTGCACAATTCTGGATAAATTGAGAATCACGATTTTTTTTTTGTCTCAAATAGAGATCACGAATCTCCCACGATTCTGAACTAAACAAAATAATGTGTGGCAAAATATGATTGCTGCAGTCTATTTAAAAGTGTTTAATTAATTTGAATGAAGTATTAACCATTTTAATATACACTACCAGTCAAAAGATTTTGAACAGTAAGATTTTTAATGTTTTTTAAAGAATTCTCTTCTGCTCACCAAGCCTGCATTTATTTGATACAAAATACAGCAAAAGCAGTAATACTGTGAAATATTTTTACTATTTAAAATAACTGCTTTCTATTTGAATATATTTTAAAATGTAATTTATTTCTGTGATCAAAGATGTATTTTCAGCATCATTACTTCAGTCTTCAGTGTCACATGATCTTCAGAAATCAGTCTAATATGCTGATTTGCTGCTCAAGAAACATTTTATTATTATTATTATTATCAATATTTAAAACACGTGAGTACATTTTTTCAGGATTCTTTGATGAATAGAAAGATCAGCATTCATCTGAAATAAAACACTTTTGTAACATTATACACTCTACCATTCAAAAGCTTGGAGTCAGTTTTTTTTTTTTTTGAGGGGGGGGGGATTATATAAATTAAAATTTTATTTAGAAAGGATCCTTTAAATTGATCAAAAGTGATGATAAAGGCATTTATAATGTTACAAAAGATTTCTATTTCAGATAAATGTTGCTTTGAAATCACAGGAATAAATTACATTTTAAAATATATTCAAATACAAAACAGTTATTTTAAATAGTAAAAATATTTCAAAA